AGGGATAAGTACTGAACTACTACAGGAGGTCCTGTAGATTTCCGAGGTTTCCTCAGTGAAATCCATGTTCCTGGGGTCTGGATCAGTCCCATGCTGGTATCTCAGATATCAGTCTGGGGAGCAAGAGTTCCAAGATGTTCAGGTCAGTTGTTTCTGTGGGTTTCACCAGCCTGGTCTGGACCCCTTTTCTCTTCACTCATCCTTTTCTGCATCTGGAGTCCAGTTCAGTTCAGTGATAAGTTGTGGGTGTCGGCTTCTACTTCTACCAGCTGCTGGATGAGGGCTATCGGGTGGCATATAAGTCAGTCATCAATCTCATTATCAGGGGAGAGCATTTTAGGTAGCCTCTCCTCTGTTACTTAGATTGTTAGCTGGTGTCATCTCCAGACATTTCCCTATGCCTTATTTCTCTGTAAACCTAAAATGTCTCCCTCTATTATGGTATCTTCATTCTTGTTATCTTCTATTCTTCCCCTCACTCAACCTTTCTGCTCCCTCATGTCCTCTGCATCCCTCCTCTTCTCCCCTTCTCATTCTCCTAGCTCCCTCCCCCCTCTTCCTGAGCTCTCAATTTGCTCAAGGGATCTTGACCCTTTCCCTTTCTCCAGGGGACCATGTATGTCTCTCTTAGGGTCCTCCTTGTTTACTAGCTTCTCTAGCAGTGTGGATTGTAGGCTGGTAATCCTTTACTCTATGTCTAAAATCCACATATGAGTGAATACATATCATGTTTGTCTTTTAGTAATTGGGTTACCTCGATCAAGAGAATTCTGACACTAGGGAAATATCCAGGGATCCACAAGGTTGACCCCAGCTAAGAATCTAAGTAATAGTGGAGAGGCTACCTTAAATGCCTTTCCCCTGTAATGAGAATGATGGCTACCTTACATGCCATTATAGAGCCTTCACCCAGTAGCTGATAGAAGCAGAAACAGAGACACACAGCTAAGCACTGAGCTGAACTCCTGGAATCCAGTTGTAGAGAGTAAAGGGATCAAGATCATGTTAGGGAAACCCACAGAAACAGCTGACCTGAGCAAGTGGGAGCTCACAGATCCCAGTCTGACAGCTGGGGAACCAGCATAAGACCTAACCAGTCCCCCTGAATGTGTGTCAACTAAAGAGGCCTGGGTAGTCTATGGGGCCTCTGACTGTGGAACCAGTATTTATCCCTAGTGTATGATTGGGCTTTGGGAGTCCATTCTCTATGGAGGGATACTCTCTCAGCCTGGGTACATGGGAGAAGGGCCTAGTTCCTGTCCCCAAATCATGTATCAGACTTTGACGATCCATGACGATCATGGGAGGTCTCTTCCTCCTTGTGGAGTGGATTCGTGTGTGGGATGGGGTTTGGAGGGGGACATGGGAGGACAAGAGGGAGAGAGAACTGGGATTTGTATGTAAAATTAGAACATTTTTAATTTAAATAAAAATTTATTTTAAAATATAGTCAACTATTTATCATGTAATTCTAACAAACATTACTATTTAGCCATACTTGCTTTAGTTTTCATTTGCTTGCTTGTCAATAAAATGTGTCAAGAACTTATTGTATAACATCATTTCCTGATCCTATCGACTAATGTCCCAGTTAGCACACATGATTCTGAGACAAATATACAGCTTTCTTTGTTTTTACTTTTACTATATAAACATATGCACATATTTTATTTAATGTTAACTATTAAAATTAATACTTAATTCAAATTAAATTTTTTTTTCAGAATTATGCTTTCTCAGTCACCAGTGAGATGCCATGTAGCTAATGGGAAGATAGGATGCCTAGACATTCTCAGGTAAGCCAAGACCTGAAATATAGAGTTTAATGAAAATGGGTTAATAATTATGAGAGAGCTAGCCATTAAGGAGCTTGAGCCATAGGCCAAACAGTTCATAATTAATTAAAAAAAATCCTGGCTAGCTCAGTCGGTAGAGCATGAGACTCTTAATCTCAGGGGTCGTGGGTTTGAACCCCACATTCGCACCAAAATGTAAATGGAGCTCTTAATTGGCCTAATTAATAAAAACTCAGAGTCAGATATAGAGGAAAATGCTGAGAGATCAGAGAGAAGAAGACTAATTATTTCAATGTTAGTTTAGAAATCATGTTTATAAGCTTTCTTCTTACTTCCAAATACTTATATATTTAAGTGACTTAGTATGAACAATATTATAGATTTTATTGTACATGGGAACTCAGTCATGTTTTATAGTCTATTAAATGTGAATACAAATTGAATACATTGGAATTTGTAGTAGTTAAGGAATCCATGGCATAGCTTTTTCTGTTACTGTTGATAGATTAATAACACCCCAAGTTATCTTCATTTACATTTTATGTTTATTAGTAAAAATTATTTATAGAATTATATTTTCTAAACAGTTTTCTATTTGTAGTATTGCAAAATTTGCCCTCTTTTTCTTTTACCTATTTTCAATGAAGTGGTTATTTTGTTCCATTGTCATATAAAACACACTATTATTTCTGTTGACTGTCTACTTTTTTATGCTTCATCCAATTTGTATCTATATAGACACTGCATACTACTTCCTCTTTTTTGATTTTTAAAATTTAACTAAAATATAATTAATGCATTTTGCTATCCCTCTCCTCTATCCAAAGCCACCTGTATCCCTTCCCTCCCACTCTTTCTCAAATTCATGGTCTCTTTTTCTTGAGTTTTTATCCTTACAAATCTATTTGATTTGAATATGCAGCTTATTTTTGTTATGCCCCACATATGTGACCATCTGAGGCATTTAGTTCTCCCCTAAACACTGCTTTCTTTGCCAACAGCTGACAGGTAACAATCTGTGTGACTTCCAGGTTTTGCTTATGTTTGTAGGAAAGGATTTCTTAGGCAGTTGGTCCTATTGATTTCTAATTTTACTTCACCATCATTTAAGAATAACACAAGAGATACCATCAAGGAGGGAGACAGTATAGGTTTAAAGAGAAATCAGGCACTAGGGAGATGTCCAGAGATCTACAAGGATGATACCAACTAACCTCTAAGCAACAGTGGAGAGGCTACCGTAACTGCCCTCCCCTGATAACGAGATTGATGACTAACTGATATACCATCCTAGAGCCTTCATCCTGATGGAAGTAGAAGCAGATACCCATAGCTAAAAACTGAACTGAATTGGAATCCAGTTGCAGAGAAGGAGGAGTGATGAGCAAAGGGGTCAAGACCACGCTAGTGAAACCCACAGAAACAGCTGACCTGAAACAAGAGGGAGCTCTTGGCCTGGGGGAACTGATCACTGGAAACCAGCATGAACTGATTCAGACCCCACAAATATGGGTGTCAGTGAGGAGGCCTCGGAAATATATGGGGTCTCTTGTAGTAGATCAGTACTTATTCCTAGCATAGGAATGGACTTTGGGATCCCATTTCACGTAGAGGGAAACTCCCTCAGCCTAGACACACAGGGGCAGGCCTAGGGCCTATCCCAAAGGATAGGACAGACTCTGTAGATCCCCCATGGAAGACCTCACTCTCCCTGGGGAGCAGAAATGGTATTGGATAGGTAGGGTGCTAGTGGGGGGCAGGGGAGGAGGGGAGGGAGAGGGAACTGGGATTGACATGTTAAACAATCTTGTTTCTAATGTAAATTAAAAAAATTAAAAAAAGAATAACAATTCTTCCCTTGACCTGGGATTTATTTAATTAATTGCAAACCTCAATCTTCTGTACTTCTTTGCCTACTCTGTTCTAGAAATTGTGGATATTTTATGTGGCTGGTTAATTTAGAAAGGTTTATTGACATATATATGACAGACAGGCAGGTAATTTTCCCCGATTCTTAGCTTAAGTCTTCTAGTTCATTAGTTTCATTCTAAGTATTCTCAGCATTTTGGTTCCCTCCTCCAGTTTTTTGACATAAGATGATATTTTTTTATCCTACTTGCTGTTTGTTGTATGTCACATTTCTTAACCATTACAGAACAAGCTAAGAATTTCAGTCTTACATTCCCCACTAGATACCAAGACTTTTCTTGTTATCAAGATGCTACCATGATCCAAATTCTGTCACTGTAAAGCACTGAGGTTGTGGCTATGTGGTGTCCTGCAGATAATGAAGGAATTTTCTGTATTAGCATACCCATGCAGAAACACATATATGAGCATACCCATGCAGAAACACATGAACATGCATTCACATGATGCTCTATGTCCAATTATTGAGAAGTTACAATCGCTAATTCTTACCAATGAATTTAGTTATCAGCTTCTTAGACTACGTTAAAGAGTCTAATTTTACTGTGCTTTATAGTGTTTAATTTTGTTATTCGTTTCCATTTGTTAGACAAATGAAAAATGTTAGACTTGTGTTTGATCGTAAGTGTCATAAATATTCAATGATCCTAATTAGGCCTCTGTAGTTTTTAAATCTAGGAAATATTTTTACAACATTTAACATTTTAAAACCAGAATTTCTCTCTGTCTCTGTCTCTCTGTCTGTCCTTTTCTCCATGTGTGTGTGTGCATATAGAATCTGGAAGTATGTATCCAAATGTTGCAGGACAACATTGATTGTTGGTCATCCACATTGTTTGGGAGAAAATCTGTCTTCCATTACTGTTGAGTACACTGGGCTAGCTGGCCCCCAGGCTGCTGGACATTCTTCTGTATCTGCCACTAGTCTTCGAGGATTCAAACTCAGACCTTCATACTTGCATGGCAAGCACTTTGCTCACTGAAGCACATCCTTGGGCCCTCATAATATTACTTTTAATTTAATTATCAAGTCTAAATAGAAAGCTGAACACAACCAAATGAGTAGAATTCATGAATTGAAGCGCTCACCATCACATGACTTTGTTTCTAACATTTGCTCTGGGCACAGATGTTGATTTTCCAGTTCCTGTATAATGACTGCTCTGGATCGCACCTGGATTCCACCAAAGCCAAGATCCTCACCGTTCACACAGGTCAGCTGACAAAGACTCCATGGGGACCAGTCATTTAAATAGCAGTCACCTGTAAGAAACATGTTGGTAATATATATCCATAGGGGACAGCGATGCAGATACTCATTTTGATTCTAACTGTGCTAGGCCATATTTGTAACTATGCTAGTTATACATGATGTTTACGATACATGGATAAATAATAACTATTATTTTATATGTAGTAAATATGTTGTTTGGAGTGACTGGGTAGTCTCTAAGTGTCTTAATGTTATAAAATATGAGCTATGTCCTGAAGGAGTTTGCCCATCATGTCCATTTCCTAAGAGATGGATAGTATTTGGCTAAAAGCTAACATGACTTTTGTTATTATTTTAAAAGGGGCTAGTAAAACTTAAGAATAAATAGAACTTGCCTCTAGGTATTCATAAATGTAAGTGAGCTGGAAGGTCTAGATGAGAGACCTAGTGATTATATGTTACTGTTTTGCCAAATACCATAAATTCACAGCAAGTTTACAAGTCTGATTATCTATCCAGTCAATCAACACTTAATCAATAACAGACCATTCAAAGAACCTCAAAAATCTCCCATCATGTTATCCTGGAAGAACATGATTATATAATATTATATATACCATATATACCTTTTTACATTAACCATTTTCACTCATGTTTGTAAGATCTATTACATGTTTAAATAGGGCATTTTGAAAATGCCAAGTATAAAAGCAATCAGCAGAAGAATTTAAGAAAGTTGTAGAAATGCTTGTATGTCTGAGTTGTCACATTTTGGGTTACCCAGAATTTATCAGGAAAACCTGATATGGGTAAAGATTAGAAAATATATAGTATATATAGTTATATAAAGTATAACTTTACCTAAGTGACTACAAACTGAATGGAAATCCAGTCTCTCTCTTTTGTGTGAGTAGGTTAATCTCTATATGTATCTTTATTTGATATCATCAGGAATTTGCAGAGATATCCAATAATTATATTTTGCAGCAGTCTATTCATTACACAATCATAATCCTGAGATATCCATGTCAAGATTTAGTAACAATATGAGAGTGAGGCACTTCCACTATTAAACACACTTTTATATTTTGACCAGATCCGCTGGGGTAATAAATTTACACCATACCTGTCAGCGGTGAAAAATGTTTTCTCCTAATTCATATTCTACTCTTTAAAGCATACTGTGTCAAATTTGTCTACCTTTCAAGATATATAGTAGAGGGGTGGAGATGCAGCTCCGGGGAGTGGAGACCTTATTCCTTGCAGGAATGCAGTGGTTTCCGACCCACGGGTATGTTGTTATGCTATCAGTATACGTACTACTGAATAAGATTATTGATATCCTTCACTTGGACTATGTACATAACCTCTTCTTGACTCTGTTACTAGGAAGATGTCTCCAAAGTATGAATTCTGTTCTGTTGTTACCTGGGCAGGGCTGGGTGCAGGTTTCCTCCAGAACTATCTGTTTATTACCATCTACAATGAGCTCAATGTCAGTGCAGAGCTCTTCGTCCACCACTTTGCTGAAATCATCAGCTGAGCCATCGCTCACTACACAAGAAATATTCCGTGTCCTGGTTCCTTCTCCGCACTGGGCCTCCTGGAATGGAGGGAGAAACAGCTAATTAGAAAAAAAAAAAATAATTCATTAGCGAGCTCACGGCTTATAGTCGTCTCTGCATCCCCGATTTTGATTTATGAATAGCTAGAGCAACATTGGAAACCCCAGGGAAGAAGCCTTATAGGGCACATGCTATAAAACATACATGGAACAATTTATGTGCTTCCTAGTCAAAGACAGCAAAATAAATTTTCATTAAAATGAATCAGTCTCCAAATGATTTTAAAAGTACAGGACAGGGGGTGCTTGCTAACAAAACTAATTAAAAGATTGGGAAGTGGCAAAGTCACTAAATGTTTATGAGGAAAGCTACCCATTTCTCTAACTCAGAAGTATTTCTAGAACCAAGTCTTAGCAGATGAAAGAATCCCACACCCACATAGCTTCCTGAGATTTGATACCTGAACTTGGCATGAAGACCACTGGCCATACTGCCAACGATAGCATGGCTTCACTGGGCAAGGTTTGGACTGTTCCATCAGGGAAGGGCAGGGTCTTCCATCGCCTTGAAAGGGCTGGGTCACTGTTCGTCTTCGAATCATTTTTCCTTTAAAGGTATAAAATGATACAACTTTAGTGTGGTGTTATTGTTGTACAAATTGATGCTTATATTATTGGGAGAAAGTATCATAGATGTCTCTCTTGAGGAGGCCCTGGAGCAGAAGAGTCTCCTCACATGTTTTCACAAGGAAGATGCCCTTGTGGAGCACACCTGGTATCATTTAGGGTAAAGAGAGGTATTTTGTTTGGTGTGGCTTGACTGCTAGGTTAATGTTAATTGCAACACAAACAAACCTGTGAGTCCACATGTTTGAGAGCATTCTGACCAAGAAGACCAGTCTGAAAGCTGACAGTTCAAAGGGCATTCCACCATGCAGGACATGTTCATTTGCCAGTTCTTCTCTAGGCCAAGCTGAAAGAGGAGAGGCAGATATGTTCATATTGACAGGGAGACAGGACCATGAGCATTGTCAGTAGAAAAAGGAATAAAAAGGGAGGAGAGATGTGGAAGAGTGGAGTGTAGATCACAGTGGAGATGTGGAGACTTGAGGTGAGAAGAGGAAACTGGAGGGAGGCAGAGGGGATGAGAGACAGGGAGCAAAGACAGCTGCATGGCATGGCAGAAAGCTACTGGACAGTCAACAGTTACCCAAACTAGTAAGAATCTAAAATGGTTCAACTCAACAAAGCAGGATTCAAGGACAGACTGAATTTAGGGTTATACTGACTCTATACAGCTATGTACCATGTTAACATTTTCCATAAATAGTGAAGAAATATAATTAATCTACAAATTAGTTGACTGTCTCGATAAGAAGAATAAGGAAGTATAGGTGAAACTGCCTTGTGATATTTCAAAACCCCAAACACCATCCATATACAGAGCTATAATTTTATCTTCCTGATGTGATTTGTTTTTATGTAAATGTGTTAAACTGAATAGCCAAATGATTTCAAAGACAAACTGCCACTTAAAACCAAAGATAGAATGTACTGGGAAAAAAATATCAAAGAACAGTTTGGGAGCTGGGGTGTAGTTCAGAGTGCATGGTTACTATCCACAAGGCTCTGAATTTAGTCTCTCAGTCTCTTGCACTGAAAATGAATGAATGAATGAATGAATGAATGGTTTTTTGTTTGTTTGCTGGTAATTGAGATTTTTCTGTGTAGACTAGAATGTCCTATAATGTTCTTTGTAGCCAATGCTGGAATTGACCTTTCAATCCTCCTGCCTAAGCTTGAATTATACACGGACCACAACATCTGGATAGAAGTGTAAGTGCAGTAAATCATCTTTCCCAAAATAAAGGTGGATCCTCTGCTCAATCATACCACAAGGACATTTGCTCAACAATGTTCACAGCAGCATTATTCATAATAACCAGAACCTGGAAACGACATAGATGCCCCTCAACTGAAAGAATGGATAAAGAAAATGTGGTACATATACACAATGGAGTACTACTCAGCTGTAAAAATGATGACCTCATGAAATTTGCAGGCAAATGGATGGAACTAGAAGAATCCTGAGTGAGGTAACACAGACTCAGAAAGACAAACACTGTATGTACTCCCTCATATATGGATTTTAGAAACAGAGCAAAGGATTATCAGACTACAATCCACAGCTCCAGAGAAGCTAAGTAACAAGGAGGACCCTAAAAGGAACACATGGATCTCCTTGGGAAGGGAAATGAGATGAGATCTCCTCACATCACCTCACATCACCTCTTATCACAGGGGTGATAAGAGAGAGGGGAGGGAGTATGAGACCACGAGGGAACGGCATGGTTGAGGTGGGGATGGATGCAGGGAGAGCAATGAAAGAGATATCTTAATAGACAGAGTCACTGTAGGGTTAGGAAGAAACCTGGCACTAGGATAATTCTCAAAAATCCACAAGGAGGACCCCAGCTAAGACCCCTAGCAGTAGTGGAGAGGATGCCTGAACTGGCCTTCTCCCATAGTCAGATGAGTGAATACCCCATCTGTCATCATGCTATCATCATAGAGCCTTCATCCAGTAATCAATGGAAGCAGACACAGAGATTCACAAACAAGCACCAGGCCCAGCTCCGGATATCTAGTCAAAGAGAGGGAGGAGGGAATATATGAGCAAAGGAGGTGAAGATCATGATGGAGAAATCTACAGAGACAGCTAAACCAAGCTCGTGGAAACTCATGAACTCGACACCAACAGCTATGGAGCCTCCATGGAACCAAACTAGACCCTCCTTATGTGGGAGACAGTTGTGAAGCTTGTGAAGCTTAGATTATCTGAGGGGTCCCTGGCAGTAGGACACAAAAGGAAGTTTAACTCTTTAATGTTGTGCATATGTAAGTATGTGGTCTTGAGAGTGAATATAGACTATGAAATTAGACAAGAGACTGAGAATGAAAGAAGGAATGCTGAGGAAGGAGAGGGAGGGCAAAGGGACTCATGATATAAAAGAGCAAAGGAGGTTATTGGGGGGTGGGAGAGTACAATAGGGAATCTGAGTACAAGTTCTCTGAGAGTGCAAGAGAATCTGAGAAGATATGAAAAATATCTTAATGAAGCCTAATGCTTTGTATGCTGATATGAATAACTTCAATTGTATTCTTTCTTTTTCAATTTTTGAGATAGGGTCTCTCTGTGTAGCTCTGGCTGTACTGGAATTTACTCTGTAGACCAGGCTGGCCTTGAACTCAAGGAGATCTGCCTACCTCTGCCTCCCGAGTGCTGGGATTAAAGGCATTGCCACCACCAACCTTCATTTGTATTTTATAATCCAGTAGCCAAAGAAAATAAAAGAAATATTTTCTAATCATTGCCATGAGTTTTAGCAATACTTAAATCTATGTTATTCAGTGTGAGGATCAGATCAACACTTTTTTTTTTGTACACTACATCCTTTATCAGGCACCCCACTATAATCTGCATTAGATATACTTGATAGACTCGAGCATTTGGATTTAAAGCTACTCTAGGCCACAAAGTTAAAAAAAAAGATTTTTAAGAAATACAAAAGGGTGGAGAGATAAATCTTGAGGTGACAGAGTGAACATGATGTGAGACATTTATGATATGCCGTAGCTTTGTTGGGAAACATTTAACAGAGAATCAACTGTTACCGACTTACTTCATTAGAGAGTGTTTTGGCTCTCCGTTAATTATACTTTAAATCTGTTTCTTTCTCCTGATATTTATTTCATCATTTTACTCTGTTCTATCTATCTATCTATCTATCTATCTATCTATCTATCTATCTATCTATCATATATTCATACATATAATTTGCCCAAATCAATCCATCTATTCATGTAAATATGTTTCTAAGGAAATTTTAATGATTTATTTAGGTTTTAAGGAATAGAAAAGGGGACACAATGACTAGGTATCAAATGAGTTAAAAAAAAAAAAAAAACCTCAAAAACCACCAAAGGGGGAAATATACTACATAAATGTAAGTGAATTTAACCCTAATTTTCCTCTTTGTTGGGCAGTAATGACACATTTCTTTGTGGCTATTAAGGAAGCAGCAAGAGGTACCTACTGCTGCTGAACTGAGTGCAGGGTTTGCACAGGGATTGGTAGGTGGGTGGTCTGACCATTGTTTACAAAGATAGCACAGTGGTTTGTGGAGCCAGCTGGATTCACAGTGTTGTGTAAAATGGCATATGTGCTGTTTAATTCCCACAGAGAGTTAGGTTTCCCTGAACCCTGCTTAGGTTTCCCTGAAGCCAGAATTTGTCAGGATGTTTGAATTTGAACCTGCAATTGTTCCTGCTGAATTCACATGATCCGAAGTTGTTTATAATAGTAACGGATGCTTTGAGGTCCCCTTTCACAGAGATCTCATTTCATGTTCTCGTAAGGAGGAACCCTGCCAGGTACTTACAAAAGAGACTACACTCACCATCATCTTGTGCTAGATCACAGACAACTCTCTAGGAAATTTGTGATTGTTGCAATAATCTTCACTCACAAATGCTGTCTAGTGGTGGTTACATTGCTTAAATGGTATTAGTTTAAAAACTGAACATAACGCATGAATAGGTCGACTCATATAACTAGTTTTTAGTGGCAGGCATTTATTAACTTAACAACTTGATGTTTTTAGTTCATCTGAAAGTCTGTCCCTATAGACAGATGTAAAGAAGTTAAAGTTCTGTGCACTTGACACAGAACTAAGTGGGTTCAAGTAATTCCACAGCTTTCCCTTCACAGTTAGAACTGTTGGTGTTTCAGATCTATGGAAGCCCTTAGTTTGGTCTGAAAATAATCCTGTGGAACTCAGAAGCACAGTGAGCCAAACCACAGGAATAATATTGCCTTTTTGATTTGGAAATCAGACAAAACTCAGTAAAAGATGCAACTTTATGAAAAGAAAGGTCAATGTCATGTTTCTCTACTGCTCAGAAGGTCATAGCTAAGAGTGATGGCATTACTTTCATTCAACGATTAACTATAAACTACATTCAAGATAATGGTGACAGACTTCATTTCTTCCCTTGAACATTAAGTTTTCTTATCCAGACATGTGACCTAAGTACTTAGATTTTCACAGCTGGCTATCAGATCTTAATATCAAAATCTGCTATGAAGCTGCATGTGATCAATGTTTAGCAACAGAAAGAATAAATGATGGATCTTGGCAGGTGTCCAAGCTCTGCACCCAATTCACACCAAATTACAAAAGATGATGAGTGGTCTGATTAAGATTTATTGCCTTTATTCACCTTGATTGCTTATTGTTTCCTAAGCATTTCTTCCAGAATGGGCTAATTAGCATACCTTTGGGCTCCAAGCAGAACAAAATACAGGAAATTATCTGTGGAAATCAGTTGTGTGGATACTGTCTCTTTTCAAGAGGGCACTAGACAGCCTGTGAAAACAGCTGTTGGCCATGCACTGTGTGGTGCACGAGTCACTTGGCTCCATGCGAATTTAAATCATTAGGGAAGAATTTCCTAGGAAGATTTAACACAGCACTCACCCACCTCTTCACAATATTTCAGGTCAACGGACTTGCCATCACTTCGAACACAGTCCAACATCCTTGTTTTAATGCCGTTTCCACAAACTGCCTTCTCACTGAGCTGGCATGTACTCCAGTCTGAACAGAAAAGACCCATCAGAACAGAAGGCGATGCACGAACAGATTTCAGATGACCCGAATCCCATACCTAATTTACAACTGCTTTCCTTAAGCCCCACAATCAATCATCCCACATGCAGAGCATATGGGTCCCAGCTCTGAACATATTAGGAGTCAAATGGAATTGCTGCAGTTGCACATAGCGCTAGGGATTATTCTTTAAGTCAGTTGTCTACTTGACAATCTTGACAGCTAGCTATTTACTGATATTGTAAAAACGGCTTTGCTCTATAGATCAATAACATTTCAAATTTTTTTCCTCAAGAAAGAGTAGAATTAAAAAAATTACCGTTATGTCTCTTTTAGCAAAGTAAGCATAATTTTAATGGATGGTATTCTATGCAGTTAGTTACATTGTACCATATACTTTGTTTATTTCCATAAGTTTGAGTTTTAAAAAATGCAAACTCATTTATTTCACAAATAACTTCATCATATTTATTAAATTCTCTTATTTTGTATCTTTTGCAAAAATCACTTTCATCTTTCTCTTGGCTAGGAAACATACTCTAGAGAACTTTGATTTTCTTTGTGTCATCAAAGCAAATTGGAGAGAAAGCAAAGAAACAGAAGCCAATGTTACTGTTATGTTTCTGTTTTCAATTTCTTGAGCTTGTTTTTATGTGGAAATTACTTGGAAAAAAAAACCAACGTTGCTTTAATGTTGTACCAAACCAAAGAAACCAATGAAATATTTTTATGTGTATGCTTTGATAATATTAAAGAAAATTGAGGAAACAAATGTAGTTTATCACAAGTCTACTTTTCTGAATATTTATTTTTAAGATTACAGAACTTTTCATCATGCTAATGTTGTTCATAAATGTTGCTGCACCCCAAAAACTATTGATGGAGATGATGTAACTGACACCTGCTAAGGAAAATACAGTTGCACCTTCCCAGAGTGGGAGAAGGGTTTAAATAGGATTATCTGGAATACTTACCACATACTTCAAAAAATTTAGTCTTTGTGATACTTTTATTCTCAATGATTTGATGACTATCAAAAAATAAAACAGATTACTACTTCTTCATGTCATTATTGCTCAGAGGGTAAACTGTGCCTCCAAATGGCACACAGTGTACCTGGCTTAAGCAGATGAGACTGTTAGAGCTGATTTATATGTGACCAGGTCCCAGATTCTATGAAGACATGGTGGAGTGCTTACCTGTGACATTGTAGTCATAGTGGTAACAGTTTTTGTTCAGATTACAGGGTTCTTTCTCCACAGCATCTGGGCAGGCTCTTCCTTCATCTGCAGGCTGTCTGATGGGTTCAGCTGACCTTTGCCGGGAACCACTTGGGTTGCAAGGCTTACAAAGAACAATACCATCTTCTCAGAATGGTAAATTCAGCCATATAACAGCTAGCATGTTACTGGAGCTGGCATTAGAGCACCCAATTCATTGGCTAATTTGAACAAGTCAGTTAACCTCATTGTGTTTCAGAGTTCCCATATGTAAAATGTAGGGATTAACTAAGAGTCTGCTGTGCTATCCTTGCCAGAAGATGCTTAAGTCATTACCTTACATCTATATAATCTCATTCATATGTCCCTATTCAGTAAACAAGGAATGTTAATGTATATTTAATGTATATGGATAAAAGTGTATATGTGTGTGTGCATGTTTACATTCATTTGTGTGTATATCTGTATTAATTAACTTAAACTATTTATATGGTGACTTCAAATAATTATCTAGGTATTAATGGCTTTTATTTTCCTCATGCACAACCTCACACAAACAAATTTGCATCTATAGAGTGATTGGCTATTTTCATACTGCCGTGTCTTTCTGAAAACATTTAGCTTCTAAGAATAGAAAGGGACAATTTTGGATTTCCTAGGACTCAAATAGTTATTGTGTTCTCCTTTGCTCTCTTTGATCAAACCACTGAAGGAATACATACTGAATTTAGAGAACGCTAATTGCCCTGCTACCATCTCCAGTGTGAGTACATTGAACAACTTGTCTTCTATATCTGTATATGCTTTGAACCACAGTTCTTTGCACATGGCAAATGCTTTGAGTTTGTCTATGGATGTTGTAGGTGACAAAGCAAGGTAATTTACAAAGTCCAAAATGCACACTTATTCAACTAGTCAAATTTTAGTTCCATCACCAAATTTCTATTGGAAAATGCTCAAGAAAACAAAATACGTTTCACAAACACTTTCTTGTCAGACATGGCGGAACTCAATATTTTTCTAAGTTGGTTACTTATGGATATTTAAAACAGAACCCAGATGGACATAGTTCCTGTTCACTGGCTCCTGTTACTGGCATCCCTGCTAAGGAATTTAAGAAATAGCCCCAAGTTTGACAGCCTCTGTTTTATATAAGCTGAATATTCTTTTAAAGGAATCTCTGTTGATAAGAATTCCATCATTGTAAAAAAAATTAGACATGGTAGAATGTAGTTCAGCTGCAGAATTAGAACAGAAATTCATTTGCAGACTCTCATGAAGGGTGGAGCTTTAACCCTTCTTTCAATATCTATTCAAGTGACATATTGGTCCTGTTTTGATTCTTAACAGTCAGTTGGTTTCAGTTAGCATTTAACAGTGTTAACACAGAGATAAAAAGGCAAATTTCCTTGGAAAACACAGACTATAAACTTGCCTGAAGCTGTCCTTTACTGTAATTCAAGCAATATAACATTAGGTGTATCTTTCCATTTTTTTTCACATTGCTTTTCATAGCTGTACAGGGCTAAGCTAACTGTGCTGGGTAGTTATATGGCAACTTGACACAGGCTAGCATCATCTGAGAGGAGGGAACCCCAAGTAAGTCAATGCTTCCATAAGAGTGGGCAATGGGCAGGCTGGTAGAGTTTGTTTCTTAATTAGTAATTAATGTGGGAGGACCCAGACCATTGTTTGTGATGATATCCTAAGCTTGTGCTCCTAGATTCTATAAGAAATCAGGATAAGTAAGTCAGAGGGAGCAAACCAGAAAGAAATACCCCCACCATGGACTCTGCATGAGCTCCTGCCTCCAGGTTCCTGCCATTCATGATTTCGTTCTCTCTCTGTTTTTGATGATAAACTGATATATGGAAATGTGAGTAAAATAAACCTTCCCCCCCCCCCAGCTGCTGCTTTTGGTCATGATATTTCATCATAGCAATGGTAACTCTGAGATTCTAACTTTCCTGCATATTGTTTCAAGTGATACCCTTCCTCTAGATGGGTGGTAGGGTTCTCAAAGCTATTGAAATCTACAGCTCTGTTGGGTTTGAACTCGTTCATTTATCTAGGAGTCAAGAAGCACAGACTATGTGAGACTGTCAAGCTGTGATGGCTGTTCTCATTGTCAATTTGACTACATCTGCAATTGACTAAAACCAGAATGGCTGGGCACATCTGTGTGAATTTTTTCTTAATTAAATCATTTGAAGTGAGAAGATACACCTTTAATCCAGATCTTGGAAATGGGAAGATGCACTTTTAGTAAACATTTTTTTTGAGGTGAGAAGATCCACCTTTAATATGGGTCACACCTTCTGTTGGTAGCCAATATAAATGACCTGGAAGAAGAATGCTCTCTGCCTGCTTGCCCTTGCTCTTAATAGCAAGTCCACTCCTTCACTGGCATTAGAACCTACTTGGAGATTCTGGTGTATACTGAAGACCAGCTGAGACATGCAGCCTCTTGGACTGAGCAGTTACTGGATTCTTGGACCTTCAGTTGATGACAGCCATTTTTGGATTAGCTGGACCACAGTTGGTAAGCCATTCTGATAAACCTCCCCTCCCGCCTAATATATAAGCTGTTCTTCTAGAGAACCCTGACTAATACACGGGGGAACTTTCTTTATAAGGGAAATAACATTCCCAGCCTCCTCTTGAGATAGGCACTAATAAGGTGTAGTATGAAGAAGAGATGTTCAGGGAGGATGCAGTTTTGGCACATGATCTTCTTGAAAACAGTGGATTCCACAGATGAAATTCAAATCTTCACTGGTTCTGTTGCAAAGTTGCCCTATTATAAAATAGAGGCTGCTGAACTCAGGCTGATTTTATACTCATCAACAGGGATTCTAATAGCAGGTTCACTGAACAGAAATTATGACCATTTGGTTTCTGTTTCAGTTGTCCACAAACAACCATATGAGAAGAATATTTCATGTTTCAACATGTGTAACCTTCTTCCTTAATTTCTTATTCAGGATCTTTCACTTTCTAGTGTCAATACTCCTGCTGTGGCATTCCCTTGCTGTTTAAATGAAAATATTTGAAGCAAAGAATAGCAAGTTAACACCATTAAAGTAACTCCAGTAGAGTTTCATCCTTCACTAAAGGGAATCATTCTGACCACTGCAGAATTTAACGTTCTGTGTAACCTGTGAGGTCAGCTGAAGGCATCTGTGTGGGTTTAGGAGCATGGCTGAATAGGAGCAAAGGGCTTGCAAGAAGTCAAGATGTTGGAGAAACACTGCTAATTTACATGACATAGCCATCCAAGGAAGTGGCCAAGAGAGCCCACCTTGCTTTTCAAACATGGCTCACAAAGAGAGTTTTTCCATGAAACTATTTTTTTTAAACTTTCAAAAATTAAACAAACCCCATTTTATCCAAATGGCTCATAATCTCACCAAAGTACACTGGGTCCACGGCCCCCATTCAGATATCACACAGTCCTCGGGGCATGGTAATTTACACTCTCTAGAGCCCAGGGGCATATCTTCTGGGTCGCATAGGTAATCCTCCACATGCTCAGAAGGGCCATCTGCTGTATTCTGCATACATCTAAAAGAAAGCGTGCATATCAGCAAAGGAACCAGGACAATTAGAATGACAGCCAACACACAGGATGGGTGGTTCCCACGAAGACATCATCCGATGAATAACATTCACCCAAAGTGAAGAGTAAAAGGAAACCATGCTGCTCTAAGTATAGTTTGTACTTTTTTAAGATTAAAAAAAATCTTCACATGCATCTCATAGTAATTTAATAAGATAGCTTCCATGCATTGGTAAATACTATCATGTTTCTTTGCAAGGGGAGTGATTTTTACACCTACATGTGAGACAGGAACTAATGAGAGGTGATCCAAAGAGATTCTCAGAGAATATGCAATTGACTCACAGGTGATGGAGGCTTACATACAGTGCAATATTCACACAAAATGCTTCATAAGGTGATTTCCAAGATAAGGCATTTATCAGTTTGTTTTATCACTTAAAAGTCATTTTAGCTGCCAGCAAGATGACTCAGCGATGAAAGGCATTTGCAACCAAACCTGATGACCTGATTTCAGTCTCTAGAACTCACATGGTAGAAAAGAAAATGAATTCCTGCAAATTATCCTCCACTTGGGCCCAGCAACGTGTGTGTGTGTGTGTGTGTGTGTGTGTGTGTGTGTGTGTGTGTGTGTGTATGTGTATCTGTCTGTTTGCCTGTGTGTGTGAGATGTGTGGGCATGTGATGTGTGTGTTTGTGTGTGCTTGTGCATCTGTGTGTATTTGCCTGTGTGAGACATGTGTGTGATATGTGTGTGTGGTTGTGCATGTTGAAGTGTGTGTATGATGGGTGTGTGTGTGTGTGTGTGTGTGTGTGTTTATGAGTTTGCGTCCATGTTTGTGAGAGACCTGTGTATGTGTGTCAGACATGTGATGTGTGTGTGAGTGTGCATCTGTGTGTGCTTGTGTGTGTTTGTGTGATATGTATGTTTGTGTTAATGACTGCGCATGTGTGTGTGATTGTGTGTCTGTGTGTTTGTGTGTGTGATGTGTGAGTGAGCATTTGTGTATGTGGTTGTGTGTGGATGTGAGAGAGGCATGTGTTTGAGTATGTGCGATTGTGTGTCTGTGTGTGTTTGTGTGTGTGATGTGTATGTGAGTGTGCATTTGTGTATGTGGTTGTGTGTGTGAGAGAGAGGCATGTGTTTGAGTGTGTGCCATTGTGTGTCTGTGTGTGTTTGTGTGTGTGATGTGTATGTGAGTGTGCATTTGTGTATGTGGTTGTGTGTGTGAGAGAGAGGCATGTGTGTATGTGTAAGTGTGCATGTGTGGTTGTGCTTGTGTACAATAATGTAAAACACTTTTAAAAGCCATTAAAAAGGCAATTTTAGTTTCCCATCTGCTAACATGAAAAGAAAGTCAGAAACCAAAAGAAAATTATAAATAGAACAGCACAACTTCTGTAAGTGTGGTTATTTGGACCTTCTATCTTGATTTTTTCTTGATTGTTGGTTTTCATTTTATTAGAACAAATTTAAACCTTAGCTTATATTCTACTATGAGCAGCCAAGAATTACTCTTTACTGACCTCTTGAGAAGCTAATTAATGTGGCTTCCCTTTACCTTAGTTAATAATCTCTCTGTGAACTTTAGTAGTGGGAAAGAAAACCTTGATCCTTAATCTATAATGTAGAAAAGGTCAACCAAATTAATAGGTTTTAGAAGGGAGGTGCCTTTGGGAAACTGAAAAGGAAAATGGCTTCTTAAACCTTCTGGACTGTGATTTAGCAGTTGGCTGAGTCATGCCACAGTTATATGCCTGGCATTCCATCCTTGCGCAGAGATTTCCAGGAGGAAGGCATTGTGGCTTTAAAAGAATACTCTGAAAGATTACTGTTTATATTGATACCAAATTTAAGAAAACATTTCTGTTAAGTGAGACATTGAAAGCTTGGAAAACTGTCAATAATTGTATCTTGATTGGGCATGCAATCCGGAAAAAAATTTATAAATACTGATCCCTGTGATTTATTGAAAAATCATTCACAAAAATGAATCAGCAGCTATTTGGTGTTTAATCAGCAGCTATTTGGTTTTAGGAAATTTAATTGTTATGTAGAAAAAGTCTTATCTTCAATACCATTCTAAAAATATTCTTTTGACAGTGGTCTGACAAGTGGATAGGGAAAGCATTTTCACATTCAAAAGGTGAACTTGATGCTAAGATCACATTCTTAGCAGATACTGATTCAGCACATAGTATTAACTTGTAAAATTGCCTATTGATTCAAGTTAGGAACAGATGTCCAATACTCTAATAGGTAGCTATACACATACAAGTTTATTGGTAAAGGCTTTTATCTTTCTTAACTTTGTGTTGTATAAATCACTCAAAAATCAGAATAAATAATAAAATGCAAATCTACCTCTCAGAGGTAACTTCTCTTAACAGACTTGATTTATTATCCTCCATTTCATAAAATAGGAACAAATTTTACCTATCAAGAAGAGTATTTGTTTTATTTGAATTAACATTTCTTTCAACCTAAAATTCAGAATAAATATTTGGATCAAGCTTAAGCACAATGAGATATATTTTAAATTTGTTTCCTTCTTTGCCTTGGCCTTTCTTCTATTTTTCTAAAGAACAAAATAGTTCTTTGAGAAGACTGAAGTATATTAGAAACACAGACTGCAGGGCCACTTTGGAGGTGACAGAATCATAACAGGTAGGAGAATACAGGATGTCTGTATGGATAGAACACAACAGCTGCAGAAACAGCAACTAAAACTGCCTCTTTTTATTTGTATTGTCATTGTGTGCATAAAATTGTGAAAACAAAAATGTCATTGACAGCACATGCTCTTTTCTTTGCCTGGCCTCCTTGATATCAAGGCTTCATTCCTAGCACTAGGGGAAGGGAAGATAAGAAAGAACAAAGGAAATAAAAAAGAAGGGAAGAGAGGGGGAAGGAAAGAGGAAGGGAGGGAGGAGGAGGGAGGAAGATGGCAGGAAGGAAGGAGGCAGGGGAGGAAGGAATTCCTATTAGGAAGAAGCCCTTCTATTATTCACTTTCTTACATCCTAACTGAGAAAGATTGAAAACAGGTAAATACAAACCTGTCCTTTTATAGACTCATCTATCCTGAAATGTCAGTCCACATTTGTATGTAGGCAGGACATACTGACCCTAATTAGCAGAGGATAGAGTTTGAGCCCTGTACTACTCAATCAGGAACAAACGGCACATTATTACATGATAGGAGATCACGATCAATACTGACCTCCCTCTCTCTAGTGCATCAACCTCAATACATAAGTTGATCTGAAAAGTTACTTTGTTTCAAGTATGTTTGGAAACATTGAAAAACAGCTATTTTCAAAGCAAAAAGAAACATGCACACAACAGTTGAAGGAAAAGTGCAATCCATGTTCTTTCATTATATATTTTTTCACTAACAAAACAAGCAACTGACCTGAATTCTTCACATAAAGGAAATGATTTTTAAGTTTGGAGTGAAAAGTTTTAAATTGGAAGCAGAAGTGTAGAGAACAGGAACTCTGTTGGTTTTTTTCTTACTTTTTCATTTCCTATCTACTTGTTGCCTTCATTCCTGTCTTTGTCTTTAGTCTACCTTTATTACGGCCCATAGAAATAGTAAATGTGTTTTTGAGACAAACAGAAAGTGTTTTTTTTTTAATCAGAAATAAGGTTATATATATTTTATATGCAAAACTTTTATGATATTAACATTAATTGAACAAAAACTTTCTACTGAAATTGAATGTGACACTACTGTATAATTCAAAAACTCATGACAATTTATAGATGAGAATGAACTGATGTTAAGATCTGGATTCATTATTATATATTTTAGACCCTTTGTACGACAGGGATATTGAACATCTTTGCTGTCCAATAGAACAGCCCTATGTGCAGTTGAGAATCTGAAATTCTGAATAGTGTGAATGAAGGAATGCATTCAAACTTTATTAGTTTAAGGTGGAATTGAAATATCCATACATGACCAGTAGCTTCTCTATCACACAGGATAACTGCATTTGAATAAGTGAGAGGCAATAGCTAGCCACAGGTTCAAGAGAAGGCTTCTTGAAGGAGATTAGAGTGTTCAGATGCTAAGCCAGGTTGACAGAAAGGACTGGGAATCCAAGGCAGGGTATTTGAAAATGTGTATTTACTACTATATTTGTCCTTTCTTCTAGGGAAGATGGCTTAGTAAGTTAAGTGCTTGCCACATGAGCTTGAGGACCTGGGTTCAATTTCCAGCACTCATGTGACTAATGTAGTAGGCCTGACAGCACAATGTAATCCTAGTACTGAGGAGGCAAAGACAGGAGTATCTCTGGGACTCTAAGAGACCCTAGCTAAAAAAGTAAGGCAGGCAGTGAATAAGATAAACATCCAGGGTTGATCTCTGGCCTCCATACATGCATGGATGTATATAAAAAATACATTTGCACAAAAGAAGCATTTTTGACTTTTAAGAAGCCAGTGAGTTTTAGCATCCACACCTAAAATGAAATGCTTTCAGTGTGCATTTCCAATGGCCAGCCCTGATAGCATACATACTACACACAAGTAACTACAGACCTAGTAGGTGCATTTATATATTTTGGAATCTGTATTTCTGTCTTTATCTGTATATCCATGTATGATACATGCATGAAACAGCAATTAGTGAAAAATAGGTATGCATCTTCAAAAAAAGCAGGGTGTGGTATTCGGGGCAGTTCTAGAGGGAGAATAGGAGGGGAGATATATTATAATCTCAAAAATAGAAATGCAACTTTTAAAAATTATTGTACAGTGGAACTTTTAAAGTCAGAAACTAAAATACATAAACTGCTTCCTGAAATAGAGGGTCTTCTTTCCAGGTACCCAGATTCCCTAAAACCAAAATTAACAAAAATTTCAGGACAGTAGAGATGAGGGATGTTCTATGTTTTTGCCTGTGGAATTGGGAGCTGATTACCATGTTGCCTCTATGTCATTCTGCTTGGTCTTACCTCACTTTACGGGTCTGCACACCCTCTCCACAGTTCTCTCGCATGTTCACAAAGGTCACCTTGCAGACACTCCATGGCTCTGTGACCCATATGTACTGGTTGCAGTCACTGTGGCATGGTACGACCTCATACACCTGAAACACACATCTGCTGATCTCAGGCAGTGGAATGATAGTGGGGTGGGTAGACTGAAGACACCTGTATCATCACAGTCGGTATTACACCAGTCTATTTTTATTCATCCAACTTATTGTTCATACTCTCAAGTAGTAAGAATGATCTCATCTAGTAAAGGAGAAGGTTAGTTGAGCCGCATTCTCTGTTTTTACACACTGGGCCAGATTCAAAGCATATTTTCATAAACTGACATTTAGCAATTATATTATGATATCTTGTTAAAGGTTTTGTGTGCCTTTATTCCTTAGCTTAGGGCACTCACATGCTAGATACTCGGTGGAGGTGTATAATTTACCCAGTTTTACATATAAATGTGTATAGTTGTAAGAATTAGCATTTTTTCATACGAGAAACTAAAATGATAAGCAAATGGACATAAGCCTTAAGACTAATCCTCAATCACTTAAGGTATGGAAACAAGGTCCTAAATTAGTTTTACAAGATATATGGCTAAAGATAGCAACTGTCAGCAGGCAAGGACCATACAGAATACAGCCAACTATTTGTGGTTATTGTCCACAAAGCTTTCAGTCCCAAATTCAGTATATTATGTTTGTTTCAGGAATTCTGGAACAATAGAGCAATGTGCTATTTTCCAGTGAGAAAAATAAGTAAAAGAAATAAATGGACCACAATCTACTACAACCAAAACTATAACCATTGGAGAAAAATATTTTAAAACATTTTTATAATATGTAAAAATCCAGTTTTGTTTCCTACTTTACACTGTCTAACACACAATATTGTTTAGGTAATCAGTTCCAGGAAATAGATACAAACAGTCCTATGGAGCTATTTTGCACATTTGAAGGACTGAAAACCAAAATAAGGCAGAACTACCCTAGATAAGAGTAGAACATCTGCAGTGTTGGAATAAGACTGTAGCTAATGCTACAGCCATCACAGTTTCATTTGAGGGTGTGTTAAAACAGGGCTATTATCACATGTCTAAACATTACCCACCACTCTAAGGGAATGGAAGAATTGAAATGAAGGGGACCTGATACTACTCCTAATCCTTTGATAGAAGAGTCATTATTCCTCTTTTTTGGGGTAATGCAAATTATTTTATAGACATTTCCAAATAACCATTTTCAGCCCACCATGTCTGTGTCTTCAAGCATAAGTAAGGGATGCTATTGCCTCATCAATGTAAATAGGTTTACTTCACCTATTTACTGTTTACTTCACCCCTATTCCTCAGGCTCTATAAATAAAGAAGGTCTGGTAACTAAATAAAATAAATAGGTACTAGATCGAGGGAGTGGAGAAAGTAATGCCTTTTTAAGAACTCTGAATAATCAGGAGATAAGAGTGCTTACCTGTGCCTGGAGTGGTGTTTGGCAGGAATCAAAAAATAAAAAAAGGACAAGAAAAAAAGAAATGTCAGTTGTTTTGATAAGTGTTCGCAAGCTACATTGCAGTTATAAGGACTTTTGAATAAAAATATTTTTATAAAAGATTAGGATGCCTTTCTCAGACTTTAGGTGAGATGAATCAGCTATTTAATACAACTTAAATTTAAGATGTATAAAGGATTGGACAACAAAGGAAAGGATTCTATGTGTAGGTGGCAAAGCTTTATAAATGGATCTCACAGCCCCTGTCAGGGTAAACTGAACTATGACAGCAAATAACTTATGAGCCGACTGATTAATGGACTAGTATCTATATATTGAGCCACCTACAGATCCATCTATCCTTCAGTCCACTTTAATCCATCCACCAATTTCTAGTGAAATAGAATCTTAGGACTTAACTTCAGCTAGGAAACAGAACCTCGGAGAGCACTTTCAAGTCAATGGACTGTTAAATTTTTTACCAAGGAATTAATTGTAGTAAAACTCTGCATGCTTTATATGCATGCTTTTAAAAACATTTCCACTCATTTTGTATATTTTATTTTCTTGACTATTTTGCTAATATTTAAATCCCTGTTTATTTTGGAATATAACAATGAAGGGGTCTTAGTCTAACGATTTGTACAGTACAGACAACTTAGGACATGGTCACGTGCCTTTGGAAACAGAAGGGCTCAGGCAAGCATGGTGTATTTCCATTGCATATTGACTCGTTGGACACATACACACAATGAGGTATTGTGTATTTGAATACTTCATCTTTGATAGGACCATGGATTATAATGTATTAATATTTAAATTTGTCATTGGAAAATTCAAGATTTCCTAAGTTATAGACAAGGATTCTTCTGGATCATAAACATGTCACTTTTGCTATTCTGTTTCATAGTCACACAATTATAGCTGTGCAGATGAATTTCTGCTTTGTAAATGAACAGTTGCAGTGTAGGATACAAAATATTCAATGGCAGGGCAGCTCAACTGCCAGGAGATGGCGATACTAGAGTGTATTATTGTCTCTCCAGTGTCTAAAGTCACCAAATTTGGAAAACTTCAGACTAAAGAATACTTTCCATGGATTTAATTCTTCGATGTGTTCATTTTTATTTACTTAAAATACTAACTAATATTTATTATTTATCTGATATATAATTATAGTTATAACTATATAATTAAAATTAGGATAGTATAATTTACTTAACTATTAGCTTAAAATGCTTATTTACTCTTTATGTGGTATGATTCTATTATTATCAACAATCTTATGTTAATCAGAAGGAAACTTCTGATAGCAATGTATTTAGAGGTTAAAATGAAACATGCTATGTCCGCATGAACAGCTTTACATATTTAAATACTTGGTTCATTTGATCATGGCTCAAATTCAAAACTTAACATCTGCACACACTCTATAAAATCCATTCTGTGCTAATTTACATGCTGATCAACTGTGATAACAATTGTCGGTTCTGTTACACTTAAATTAATCACAATTCCATCATTAGCCAGCCGTTTTATTCTTTATCTCCAATAGAATACAAATAACAACCACTGGCAGCAGCTAATGAAGTATGCATGCAAGCTCTGATACGGCTCCAATGTTAGAAAAGGCAGAGACCCAGGACCTATCCCAGGGGCATGAACTGGCTTTTTGGAGCCCATTCTCTGTGGTGGGTTACCTTTCTCAGCCTTGATATGGGGGGGGGAGGGGGGGAACTTGGTCCTGCCTCAACTTGGTATATCAGATTTTGTTGATTCCTCAAGGAGTGGATGGAGGGTGGGAGAAGGGGAAGGAGGGGGAACTGGGGCTGCTATGCCAAATGAAAACATAATTTTTAAATAAAAAAAGAAAAAGTAGAGAAAAGGCAGAGACTAAATTGCTAGCTAGCGTATGTACACAAACATATATGAAATTTGAGATACTTCATATTTTTTTCTTGAATTTTTTGCACAAAGTAGATTGAAATGAATAAATAGCATTTCTCCTAATTTTAGAGAATATGTATGTCCTTTCTGTGCTTTAATCTCTAGTACTTGGTAACTGAGAATTTTCTCTGTGTGTCTAGGGAGACCCTAAGAATTATGTGACCTCATCACAGCAGTTAAGCACAATTGTA